GTCTCGTCGTATGCCATCACTATAAGGGATTAAAGTCTACAAAACATTATATAGGCTACACTAACGTGACGTTTAGGTGGTTCGTTTAACTATTATACGTGATGTTCGTTTTTGGGGTGGTGGTTAATGAAAGTGTTTCAGAACGCAGCATTAATTTCTTGACGTCCTTATAGAATGACTCTGTATTTAGGTCGTAAAACAATTCGATGTTAAGACGTTTATGTATCTAATTGTCGTTGACTTGAATTTATTATAAGGATATTATCTCAATTCTACACCATGTGACAAGTTATGCTCCCAGTATCCCAAGGAATATTATCCTTCATTCTAAAGCTGTAGCAACCACGTGGAGCGTAAAAATTCTCAGAACTTTTCGCTGCTGTTTAGTATACGACACCAATGTTATCATTATTAGCACTAGTAGCGGTTTGTGTAATTAAAATTGTAACAGGTGAAAGATGTAAGCAAACATTAAACCCTAAACAGTTTTGGTTGCCTCATCTGAGCTGAAGTTTTTAATTAATATGAGTTAAATTGGTTCAAAAATAATAATAATTAATTAATTAAACTTGGTACTACTCAATATTCGTACACTTTATATTTTCGTTATTTAACGTCAAGAATCTTATACTGAACATAGTAACGACGCAAAAAATTTTATATAAATGCACTAACTTTATTAAAATACATTTCGAACATCGGTGTTCGACTGCCTTCTGCCGCGATAGTAGCTTAGACTCGTCATGGCATTTACTCTACAAGATACTGGGAGTGTGTTTTGTTCGACGAGAAGTACGAACTGTAAATGGTCCACACACGTCAGATTACGGTGGCGAATGAGACATTTAACTTAATCTCTAGCATACTTAATCGGATTAAAATCCGGCACCTATGATAAGCCAAGAAAGATGACGGAAGTCAATTGGGTATTTAGAACCAACTCCGGTGTGGTATTTTCAACAAGAACGGCACCTTATGGGACAAATGGGCTACACGTCCAATTGAAAATTTCCAAAATTCAGTTATAGCCGTTCCTAATGTAAAAAAAAACTGTTGACTAGTGGGAATATAACCAATCAGCAGCATCTGACACCTACGTGGCTACTACTAACAAAATATCGGAATTTATATTTGCAGTTAAAACGTTCAGTAGCATATCGTGGCTCAAACATTGTACCTTTCGATATGCAGCCTGGCATGTCAATCACTAGAACCACACCTAGTCACCAACTTTGGATAAAACGCGTGCAGTAGACAGGTGCAGTATTATTACGGTGAAAAGTTGGATTGTTCTTTGGGGTAAATTGTCAAGAATGTTTCAGGTGTAATGTTAAAAAGTTCATCGTATTTTAACGATGGAAATACTAGCATCAGAGTTGCTAATAATGTGTTATAAATAAACTGTAGTCATTGTAAAATAATAGAATATTTTATAGTGAACTATAAGTCACTGTTAAATAATACTGTGTAAAAACAAAAAGTCATATTGACACTGACAGTTTACAGTGAAGTAACTGTAAAATAACAGTATGGAAATCAAGAAATGATATTGACGCTGATATATTTACAGTAAACTACCTGTAATCCGTAAAATACTAGTCTGTTAAAAACAGGAAGCGCTGCTGGCACTGATATTTTTTAAGTAAACTAACTATAATCACTGTAAAATACTAGTCTGTTAAAAACAAGAAGCGATACTGGTACTGATTTTTTACAGTAAACTAACAGTAGTCACTGTTTATTGTAGTGGCCTGTGAAAAACGAAAGAACGATCTTGAAATGTATATTTTACAGTGGACTAAATATAAAGAAAAATGACTTGCCATTACCCTAATATCTTTTGTGGTTCGACCGCGAAAATACTCCTCATTAACTAGCAGTGTACAGTTTCGATGTTATTCGTTCTTCTGAATGAATAAAACGACCCAGTCTGTGTAAACTGTATAAGCTGAGGAATTATAAAGATACCAGTAGTATCAAAACGACCAAGCAACTGGTGGTGTGTCACTAACAGAAAATAAATACCATAACGCCCGCTGCTGGAAACTACACGTTAAACAGTCTAGAAGCGTTTCACTCATAAGATGTTAGTTATAAATTTTATAATTGCAGATCCTATGAATATTCTTATATAAAAGCTAGAGATAAAAATATATATATATTGTTTAGGATTAAAAAATTAGTAGAAAATTGTACGAACACAAAACGTTAATTGATAATATTAGTTTTCTAGTAATCTTTGTTACTTGTGTATTTAAGAGAAAAAAAAACGTTTGTAGCCCCCAGATGATAATGGTTTTCTACACGTCACGGACTTCCAATTATTTCAATACTGTCATGACTGAAAATATCGAGAGAGAGGTCTTGCTTCTGAAGTCTCTGACATCGCCAACTCTAGAACTGAATTAATTTCTAGAAATCAGTCTGGCGCTTTTCTTCACAAAGAAATTAACAAATATTTACACATTATTCAATAGTTCCCTTTGTTTTCTTAAACGAACCTGATAAGCAGGACTTCCTTCCTGGACATTAGAGACAAAAATTCCTTGACCAACTTCTGTATGCTTTCCTTCGATGATCATAATTCCTAATCCGTGGTTACCCTGACGACGAAAAGAACAGGGAATCAAATTGTATTCGATGTTTTCTATAATAGGCAATATTTTAAACTGGTACGATGCTAACAATACGAAACTGTAACATACACAAATAATGTGAAGTAAAACATCATAACACACTACTCTCGTCTCAGCATTCTTTGATGTGCCAAATTATTGTCTCTTTTTTTCGTATGTTTACATTACAATAATTTTGTTTCTATGTTATAAAAAAGAGGAAAAATGAGCTCCAATTGGGGGTGACATATTAAAAAGAGAATGTAAGTTTTCCTTTTCATGTTGTTGTCTTTTAAAATCTTATTTCACAGCCTTTTGGTCACAATTTTTATGTTTTTCAAGACGTACGATCGAAGCTTCCTTTTATACTTTTGTTTTCATTCGCAAGCTTTAGGTCAGAGTTTCAACAATCGTAGATAAAAACACCTAAAGGCGGTTACCGAAAGTTTGCGATTTTAAGAAAAAACAAGGTGTCTCGGTAAACATACATTACTAAGAAACTGTAATGTGTAAGTTAACTGAGGAATTAATTATAGGGTAAAGTTTCTGAGAATTTAGAAGATAAGATAATTACATTATTGAGTGTTAAGAGCTGAGAAGTCTTTAAGATAATTGACATTGCAAAGATGATCAGAGTCTTAAATCTAACTATATTTTTGCTATAAGATAACTGAAACCTCTCTAGAAATCACTAAAATATTAACAATTTTCCAAATATCCGGATAGAATGCATTGAAAACAGATGAGTTTATCGATTATTAAGACTTTGTATCTGTGATCGATACTTTGTTAATTGCTATGAGCTTCAACAGTGATCAACCTTTGCCACAGATTATTAAGATTTTGTATCTGTGATCGATACTTTATTAATTGCTATGAGCTTCAACAGTGATCAACCTTTGCCACAGATTATTAAGATTTTGTATCTGTGATCGATACTTTGTTAATTGCTATGAGCTTCAACAGTGATCAACCTTTGCCACAGATTATTAAGATTTTGTATCTGTGATCCACAGGAGATAGATATAGCGACATCAGGACTATCACTGTAAAAAAGGTAAAATAGTTTTGTATAAGACAATTATAAAAAATAGTAAAATTTGGTTTCTTCTGTAACGAGAAATGAAGTGATTCATGCTAGATATTCAATATATATTTTATTTGTAAATTCTAAATGAAAAAAAAAGAACGGAATGGATTACGTGAAATCCAAATGAATGTTCATTTTTTAGTATTTCAACATAACATATTTATAAATTGCTCTGTGCTTCAACAGTGATCGACTTTTGCAATAGAATTCCAAGACTTTTTATCTGTGATCGATACTTTGTTAATTGCTATGAGCTTCAGTGATGATCTACTTTTGTCACAGAACAGTAAGGCTTTGTATCTGTGAACGATACTTTGTTAATTGCTATGAGCTTCAACAGTGATCAACCTTTGTCACACTCTATGTAAAACAGAAAATATTTCAAAGTGAAAAAATAGCAAAATAAAATCATTACAGACGTCTTACTCAAAATTCGCTTCGCAAATTTCAAAAGTATACAATTTATACAAATAATTCTCTGATGTATGATTAAACTAAGTCTAAAATATAAATCTATACAATGTAAATAGTGGTACTGAAAGAAAATTGTAGTGAGTAGCTTGTCCGAATATACCATTCACATGTGAGTTCGAATTTGGTAAAGCAGAAACAAGAGCTTTGAGTAAAAAACAAGATTTCTAAATGATCTAAAATGATCATAAAATAATATTTCATTATTACAATATGGTCAAAGTGGTCGTCACTTAGTGACTAAAATTTGTATCTGTAACTATTAAATTTACAGCAAAACATGGGATAGGTAAGGGTAAAACTTAACTAAGTATCAATACTGGATAAGCATAATATATGTAGATGCTGAGTTTAAATCGACGTAAGACTGGCATCTGTAGCATTTGAGTTACGTCAACATTGGAGAGGCAGAGCGATAAAATTAAATATCAATAACTACTGAGTTACATCAACATAAGAGAGGAAAAGGGTTTTGTGTGTCTGTAGTTAAGCGCAAAAATATACAACGGGCTATGTGTGTTGTGCCCACCACGAGCATCAAAACTCTGTTTCTACCATTATAAGTTTTCAGACTTACCGATGAGTCACTGAGGTGCAGAGACTTTGGTTTGTTTTGAATTTCGCGCAAAGCTACACGAGGGTTATCTGCGCTACCGTCCCTGATTTAGCAGTGAAAGGCTAGAGAGACGGCAGCTAGCCATCACCACTCACCGCCAACTCTTGAGCTACTCTTTTATCAACGGATAGTGTGATTGACCGTTACTTATAATGCCCCCACGGCTGAAAGGGCGAGCATGTTTAGTGAGACAGAGATTCGAACCCGCGACCCACAGATTGCCAATCGATTGCCCTAACCACCTGGGGCAGAGTCAAACTAAGTACGAATTATTGCTGATTTATGTTACCTTTAATTATTAAAGTTATATCAACATTACGAAAGGTGAGGGAAAAACGTTAACGATGTAGCAATAATAAAGAAGCATTGTACTTTTATTTATTAAATTAAAACAACGTGAGAGAGGTAAAAGGAACCGTTGACGAAATATCTGTAGTTGTTGATATCAAATCAACATAGGAAAGGTTAAAAAAATATGGCCAAGAATCTGTTGAAGTTACATCAAATTTACTTTTTATCAAAGAACCAATTGTTTCAAATCGTATGGGAAATTCCCTAACGATTATATTTTCGATGATATGAAAGACAATGTGGAGGAGGGGATACTTAGTGATAATCAGTGGTAGAAATTTATTAGGGGAACAACGAACAACAAAACTGTTCACAAGAGGTCATTAAACTATGCGTAAAGTTCGCATATTCCTTCCTATTTAACTCATGTCACTCTTCCCACGACTATTAATGTAAAACACATTTGCATGCAATAACAAGTACCATAATAATGATTCGTAATTTAAATATTAACGTTTTTCCACATCTAAGCGTATTAAGAACTGCCTACATGATAGGACTTGGATAAAATCTTAACACAGTTAAGTCGTCGTTAAAATATAAACAGTTTGGTCACATAAGGAGCATGTAAACAACACGTATTGCAAATGTAATTTTTACCTGAACGAAAATAAATAGGGTGCAAGTGATTATAAGTTACATATTACTGTTGTAACGAAGTTAAAAAAGAGAGATTTATTAATTCATACGTTACTTAGATTTTTTTTTTAATGGGGCTCTGCCAAATGAAATGAGGCTGAGCACTGTTTTACGGGGGGGTTTTACTTGAATGAATCCTGTGGTCGTTTACGTTGTTATGTTTAGACAAATTTTATGTGACACTTGAAAGACTTGAAAAATATCTGTATGATCAATGTTTTACGGCGTTTTTTACTTGAATGAATCCTTTGGTAGTTTACGTTGTTATGTTTACACAAACAATTTTATCTGTGGCAATTGAATCTGTATTATGGATGGTTAAAAACTGTGGCCTTGTTGAAAGATAGCACGAATGGAAGGTTTAACTTTGTTGCATTTGTCGTCTTGGGAGGACTTCAGTCTTGGAGCTTTTGATACAAAAACGTTTTATACGGACAATTTAAGCTTATTTCATAAAAAAATATTAAGGAGATACAATTCATGGAAGATAGTACAAGACTAACTTAAGATTCTCTTTGGCTCATCGCTAAGTCTGAGGGCTTATAACAATATAAATCGTTTGATACCCGCATTGGGCAGAGTACAGATAGCCCATTGTGTAGCTTTGTATTTAACAACAAACAAAGATACAAAACTCCACGTCATACAATGCTATTATACACGGTCATGAAACGTTAAAGAATCAATCCGTGTACAGTCAACCTAAATGAGAAGAAATACAATTATATATATACATAAAGAATGTTTAGTTACCTCATCTCCCAGTAGGAGAGGAAACTGTGTCAAGGGTTTGACTGCCATTTCAAGCAAAGCATTTTCTCTCCTGCAAAACATGCGCATTTGGTATATTTTAATTCCTTAGTCTTTACAGCTTCTACGATTGAGTCATTTCAAGAACTAATATTTTTTTAGAAGAATATAGATTTAAAAACATAAAAGAAATTTTATTTCAAAGAACGTTTAATCTTAAGATTTAGTTTAATTCGACTTTAAATGTTCGAACAGTTTTTCACAAATTATATTGATATCATATTTCAGTTTGACAAAGATAGCTTTCATAGTAAGAGTAGTTTTATAAGCAATTAAAACTTTTCCAATAATAGTGTTTTGAATAAATAAATAAGTAAAATATATCTGAGGTTTAGACTGCAACAATAACTTAAATATAAGACCAGTTTGAAGTGATGTGTTTGGAAAAGTCACAATCAGTTCCAAACTTAGTTTTTCAAGTGAATTTACCGCTATGTTTTCTTATTACGAACATTTAAATTACTCAGAGTTTTTTAACAATTTTTCCTATTTAAACTTCTTGGTTCGCTAGTTTCTCCAATTCGTCGTACAAGTTTATCACAAAGGCGTATTTTCACCGATTTACACACACAAGCACTATATTTGAGAATCTGTTGACTAGTTTTTTTCAAATCTTTTATTAACGAACTCTAACTCCCATGTAATTCGACTAGAAGGTTAAACATGAAATTGGGTAGTTAAAGAACTTTTTAATTACATATGTAACACTCATGACGGGGCTTGAAAAACGACATTATCAGTCGGCGTTTAGAAATGAGAATGCACATTGAAATGTTCCCGCTAATACATTTGAAAACGTGATTTTGAAAGATAGGAACTAACGTGTTTTTATTCCCACTAATAACTCACAAGTTGATAAACAAGAAGGTCAATAATTTCTTGTTTATGTTTATCCATTTCAGAAAAGTAACGTGTTATTAATACTTGAATAAGTGATTTCCTACACAACACAAAAGTTTTCCCTCACTTAATGGCAACACTTATAGTGTAATTTACGTTATCAGCTTCGAAATATTACCTTTAAAGTAGTTACATATTTGAACGATAGCTGTGTTATTTTTTTATCAGGGGAATGTAAACTACAATAACTTAAACTCACAAACGTTTCTACTAATTCTTCAGAGCATATGTTCTGTATACTAGTGGAAATGTTCGTAAGGAATAACGAAAAAGCAAGTTGAAAATGTATTAAAATGGTTGTCTTGACTATCGTTTATATTAAGTTTATTTCCATAAATGGTGGTTTTTACTGCAGTTTATATTGCGTTTATTTCCATAAATGGTGGTTTTTACTGCAGTTTATATTGCGTTTATTTCCATAAATGGTGGTTTTTACTGCAGTTTATATTGCGTTTATTTCCATACATGGTAGGTTTTACTGCAGTTTATAGATTTTTTAAGATTTTGTCCTATACACGCAAGGGTCCTGAAGAGACTGATTTGATTTATTTTAATGTTACTGCAGTTTATATTGCGTTTATTTCCATACATGGTAGGTTTTACTGCAGTTTATAGATTTTTAAGATTTTGTCCTATACACGCAAGGGTCCTGAAGAGACTGATTTGATTTATTTTAAAGGAATTTTTTCAACTCTTTTGTTCTACTCAAAATTAATCACAAATGTTTGTTGATGTTCGATCATATGTCTCGTGCATAGGGTCAAAGAGTTCAATTTACCTGAGAATCACCAGTTTATACATCGGACCGGGCTGTAATTTAATCATGGCGGAGGCATTCAGATGGCAGCGGCCATGTACAACGGTGTCATTCACCTAAAACATACAATAAATTAAAAAACACCAATATAGCCCTTCAGTCATCAGTCAAACTCAAGACCACAACGACCTCGCATAAAAGTTACTTTCATGTAAAACATAAAACAAACAGAAATAAGGACAACAGATTGTACTGTACAATTATTTCAGACATAGGAGTTAAAGAAAGGCATATCCATGTAACAAACTAAGATAAAATATATATAAAAATAAACCTAACATATTATGTATACTAAATTATATTAGAGAGATTGCGTATGCATTTTTTTTAAATCCCTTCTTCATTAAATCAGTAAGAAACAACGTTATCGTAAAATGAGTCGAGCTTATAGTTCAGCATGACATTTAGCTACTCGGATAATCCACTTGATCATAGGAGTGCAATGCATGTTATCAAAGCCTTGTTGTGTTAGAACACATGGGTTGCTTAAAGTTACGAACCGTGTGTGCAACACAGAATAATAAATCATTTAAGCTTATTAGATCTAGGTCTGAGAGGACGATCAGCTTTTAGATAATCTGTGCATATACCGTTTATTTCAAATGGTAATTGCATTTTTCCCCCCTTCGGTAGTTTCGATCAAGTATTTTTATCCTTATCGTTTCAGTGTACTACACCAGTTCTCTTGCTATTACTAATGAAGTAAAACAAAGGCCGAGGATTATGGAGAAGTAATTAAACTTAATAAGCAACACTACTCCAAACTATGATTTCTTTTAAGTAGATGTCATTTGAGACAAACTAAAATAATTTCGGAACATCTGGAACACGAAGTTTTTATTGACTGCACCTGTCAGCTGACATCAAAGACAAACACTCGAAGCGGATCGCGTTACAAACTTCAGACTGACTGTAAATAAATCAACAGTACGGTTTCTTCAACAGCGATCAGATGGAGGCCTTACCACGGACAGAGATCGACACATGCAGATCCTCTG